TGTTCAAAGTATTCAGCCCACCGGTCAAGGCGTTCCCCCTTATTAGAGATGGTCGTTCCATTCTGATGTTTGATGCTTTCACTCACAGGTGGTTTCCGGGGACCGGTCGCACGGATCAACTGAAATAATCTCCGGGCATTACCGGCTTTCTGTATGCAGCAAGTAAGGCGACCCGGCTGATGGTACCACGCGACGGCCGATGTGGCATGAGAATATTGTTAGTTGTGTAGGGCATGGTTGTACGAGGGCTGGGATACTGCCAGGGCGCCCACACCTAGACAGGAGGACGATTAGGGTCCTCAACCAAAGCCTTTGGCTCAAAAGCCTAACCGCAAGGCAGCGGTGTTTGGCGGGAAATGCAAATGCATTACCATTTCTACGGAACAAGTCGCCATACATGTTCCAACCCCCAACCTGGAGGGCCAGGAGACAGTGTTCGTCGGAGCTCTACCCATGGACCATCTTGGTATGAGAGACTGTGAGCATCGTGCGGACACTCCCCAGTATAGCTCAATGGGTCGCCGAGGTACACAAACCGCCACACCACGGTAAGGTCTCTTCTCTTCGTGGCGGAGGGGTTGTATTTATTTCATAGTGTTATGGGGGGTAGAGGAAAATACTGAAAGTACCAAGGTTCAAGCTTCGGTACATAAATTGAAATCTCATCAAGATGTCTGAATTGGAGAACGTTATGTGGAGTCGTCCTGTCTCAGTTGACGCATCCTATTCTTCTCGCTTTACTTAGTTTCTCGTCTTTCTATTGAAAAGTTTGTTCAAAAGGAACTGTTTAGTAAACGCGATTTCACGGCTTACACAAAGTTGACTGGATGCCCGTACCTACGAGAACATAACTGACCTTTCCATACAGTGACCAACTCAATTGTGCGAAAACCATTAGGTTTAATTTCTCAATTAGAGTTGTGCTCAATATCGTATTGTATTCCCAACGAACCATTATTACCACAAATCGATTGAACTTTACTCGGAGGTCAAAGTCCGTGAAAGATCACAATGCTAGAAAGTAGCCAGATGCACACCCCCACTTTTCACGTGTTTACGAGGATTCGAAAAGTATGAAGCCGTGTGCTTGGACTGTGTACAAACGGAGTGGTCAGAACTGACCAGTCTACCTCTTTTGCCCGTATCCATAGATGCTACTCAGCGAGATCTTGTGACTCTGTGGTTAGGAGTTCGTCTTCTTCACTTACAAGAAGAGCGCAATTCTGACCGACTGAGAGGGTGAGCACTCTTATGGGGGCCAGTGTTTGGCGATTAACTATCATAAGAGCCCACGTTTTCTTTTATCTAGATTGAGTCATAAAATATCCACTAGAGACATTTGTTTTGGATAGTTGAATTTTCATTGCTGCTGAGTCATATGAGTGGTTTGCATGGCGAACTGTGGTAAAAACAACTAACTTTTTTCGCCCAGTACTCGTTTTGATGGAGAATTCACAAGTCAACGCACTCTGGTACCCAAGGAATCATTGGCGAATCGACCGGTACGTTCCACCTATATGTCAAGCAGTGCTATTGAGGCGGAAGATAGTTCGAGCGATGGGGAAGAGAATCAAGATATCGTATCTCTTACGGACGAACGGGGATTACCTCATTCTGACCTCATTAACTTTGGTGGACGCTTAGAGAAGACCATGTCTTGCAGCCTTGAAGACGTCCATGGATTGGAAGTATCCTGCGATCGACGTTCTGTTGAATGTGAGTGATTCACCTTTTTACTGTCCTACCGGTGTGGTTTTCTTCATACATATGGTAAAAACGGTAATAATCTCATTGATAGAAGACTATTAGTGCTCCATAAATATACAAGCTAGTACAGAAGCTTCATAAAACTACCGAAATCGTCATGTAGGGTGGTGCATGTTCAGCTCACAATCTCGACTGCAGAAACCACAGGGATTTTTCTTCTCTTACCAAACTTTGTTTCACCTTTCCGATATTTAGGGAATTGTGTTGAGCGTAAAGAGAAATCGAATTTGAGTTCTGCCGCGCCACTGAATGAGTAGGAACTCCTCCAGCGAGGAGGGCAATAAGTGTGTGTATATATTGGTGGAGCGTTGTCCCAGTTTGCTCAAAACCACTGTGCTCATTCGTGCCCAACCGACGAATGTTGTTAGTGATTGGTTGCTTTCGAGGTTTTAGTTTTGGACTTGAACTGGCGAAGTTAGTGTAACCTACACCGAAAAGCTGAGAAGAATCATGCGAATTTTTCTTGTTATTGATGGTAGTCGGTTGTGCATATCCCGTGAGCCCGTTAGGTCATAAGTGAACTACCACTGTGTGGCTTGCACAGGTGCAAGCAACTACTTAACCTTTCTGAAGTATCTTTACTGAATGGAAAACGCGACTTTCGAATTCTTTTAGCCGAACTGATGTCCTCCTGCCAGTCTACTATCGTTGCTTTTGAGGGGTAAAAGAATCACGAGCTTTTATTACGCTTTTTGTTTGAAATTGCTTGCAGTCGCTCACAAAACCAGTGAACAATTGCTTTGTCTTTTTTGGTGCTGAGTAGCACTGTGTCCCATGAGCTCTATGCAGCAAGGACTAATATACTTGTGATAATTTGTGTTTGTTACGGTGATAACAATATAATAATCGTTCAGCCGTAACGCCCTTCCGATGTCTAGCTGACACGCTACCCGAAGGAAGCACGAGGACAGATACTACCAGGTCACTCCAGCCCGAACAGGAGCTGTCGTGATGTCGGGGTTGCGTTCAAACCACAGACACTCCGGTCGATAAGTTCACGCCGAAACCGGCGAGCTGTGTCGAACGTGTTGCGGTCATGATTGGGGATCCTTGATGTGAATACTTTTGAGCGGAATGGAAACTGACGGAGAAAATAACTTGAAATGTGCTTGTTTGTCATCTTGCAATTAATTTTTGTCTGTCAGACTTCCCCTTCGCAAATCTGGTGTGACTCGCCATTCTAGGTTCCTGTTTCCATAAAATTAACGAAGTCTGTCGCCGACAATCATGTACTGGTTACTCTCGAACGCTGCAGTGATAATATGGCTTTCGCCTGCTGGCCTGTTCGGCGAACCTCTGTTCTCCTAATATAGACCCGTTTGGTAAATCCGAAGCTTACTTGCTTACTCATATCAGTTGACTTCTCGGACTCCTATTCACAGTTGCTCTGTGGGTATCTTTGAGTTTGGGAACTGTAGGTGGCTTGATCAGGAGAGGGTCAGTGTGGCAATCCTTCTGAAGAGTATTCAATTACGCGACTGATACGCACCAGACCGTATGGCTTCATCCTGTACTCTAAGTGCGAGTCGGTCACATTCCTGGTCAGCCACCTGCACCCAATGGTATAGTCTTCAATCACCAACCGGAAGGTCGTGGATTGAGTTCTCCTTTGAGCGAGGAGTTCATTGTTGTAGGTTCACAACAAGGATGTCACAGCTGCACAATTGGTCTCGTTTTTCTGGACCGAACTATCTTTAATGGTGCGCTATAATTGCATTCGAAGTTAGGGTGGTTTCTAGGTTCGAATCAAACCATGTGAGTTCCTGTCATTGTGTTTACTGATTCATTTTTCCCCCCTTCCCCTCTCTTCCACATAGCTTTACCGTCGACTCCATCTTCAACCCATTTCCTTCGTCGCTATAAAGGTGGTGGAGTAGCCCCGTGTGAGCCAACATGTGAAACTAACCTTACTGTCTCCATGACTTCGGACTATTCCGGTCGCCGGTGTTTATTTGTCCCCAGTCCATTCAGTGCTCACCGAGAGGGTGCTCTATTCTGTGTGGACAGTCCTCATCTTTCACCAATTTTACCAGCGAGTCGTTCTGATTCCCCACAACCTCCGCATGCCTTCGATGAACAGCCCGACAATCTGGTTTCTCCAGGATTTGGTTGGAACCCGATTCGCCGATTATCCTGACCGAAGTTTTCCCAGTTCGTGAAATGTTTTAATTGATCTCGAATGACAATATATGGAGTCGTAAATTTGCATTTTCTAGCGATATGGAGAACATTTTAATCAACTTCTGTTCCTATAACACATTCCCCGCTCTGGCACATATGTTGACCATTCAAATATTGGCTCTGCATGTGAGAATTCTTGAGCACTTATGAGCACATTTGACCTATTAGGTGATGTGATTTTTTATGGTGATTTCACATGAGTCACACTCCGCAATCGAGGGGGCTGTAGTGTATTTTTATACCACCGCATGCTTACTGCATTGATTGAGATCTGTGCGGATCTCTGTTTGTCTCAAATGCACAACTGATTCACTAGTCAAACGTGTGTACGATCTATGTATACATTTGTATGGCTTTTTTTCCTGCAAATACACCCCTTAGGGTTACAGTGACCAACCTCTTTTTGAGGACTGTTTTCCTTCTGTTTAACCAGATGATTTGGAAGGTGTTGTAATTATGGGGGTACGATACGAGTGAATCCCAAATTACTTGACTTTATTTCACCCGCTGCCAAATCTTTGTAGTACTCCGTCATCTGGGGGGGTCTGCGGATCCCGAAATGTTCCCCTTGGGAATGACCAATCAGAACCATATCCCATACTTCTTTGCTCCGGAACTAATGTTTGTATCTGGGTAATTTTTGAAAGTTTCCCTGAAGACAGCACAGAATTTTTCATTCCATCCGAAGCGAATGCCTTTTTGTATCCGTAATCCACACAACCATCTCGACATGCTGCACCTATATCACCTTGATCAAACCCAGTATCTGTGGTCCCAAGAACTAGTGTTTTTCTAGCTAAGCGTGTATGAAAACGGCTGAGAACGATAAATTGTCACCAATATGTAAGTAAGCGTTCAGCTGTAGCACCCTTCCGGTGCCTAGCTGCCATACCACCCGAAAGAAGCACGAGGGCTGGGATACTGCCAGGTTGCCCAAGCCTAGACAGGGGAAGTCGAGTGGCGGAGGTCGGATTCGAACCACTGATCTTCCGGTCAGTAAATTCGCGCTCTAACCACTTGGGCCATCTCGCCCCACCACCAATATATAATCTCACATAACGACGAAAACAATTCTTAATACTTGAGACTCATTCGTTGTCATCTTACTCCTTAGTTGCACTATCTCCGCTCAACGGGCAAACAGTGTTGTCCGTGTGTCTGAGGATAAGTTGTCGCCTATTTCATGTCAAGACCAGTCAGATTGACATGACCGTTTAGTGTACCTGCTATGTTTATGGTATAAATCCATCGAATTTATGGTAGACCAATATATATATATATAAGTAGTGCAGGTCATTTCCGTTATGGTATTTCTACTTGAGAAGTGAATCTCCTTTTTCGGTTCTCGGGAAAGGTTGCAACTGAAAAACACTATGCTCCAAAGATTGCCTCGGTAGCGCTGTTAACTGTTGGGAAGACTGGGTCTAGTTTGGTCGAATATTTCATCCCTGGCTTGACTTGAGTCTTGTCCGTGTAAAACAAAAACAGCTCATACTAGCTGTAGTGTTTCCTCGTAGCAGGGAATAATCGAACTTGCGGGTTCATTGCATCCGGACGTTCTGAGCAGCTTTAGTGTGCGTGCAGTCAAGTAGTTCGTCTCTGGGTATGCAATAAAATCCCTCAGCAAGAGAATTTCTAACTTCTCCAAAGGTCCACACCGTGAGCATCACAATAATTAAGGTATTTCTACCTTGGACAAGGCAAATGATCAGAATTTCTCTGTCTAATTGCAGTTTTTTTTCTTGTCGAATATCACCTGTCATTCTTTCGAACTCATGCACTCGTAGATATATTTTTGGAATGCTGGTGGAGTGTTGTATGTTGGACACCGTGGCTGATGGTGCGCAGCCGGCTGAACACCAGCTACTCTTCAAGTCGGTTTGTTTTTATTTTGGGTCACATAGAATCTGACCGTCAGTTGAGCCCCATTGTGATGTGATTGCTTTTTGAGACCTGTGATGCACACTATCTTGAGTTTGGGAAGCTTGTTTACAAAGGGAATTCGCACTGCGTCAAATCCAGCCAGTATGTGGTGAGTCATTGAGGGATCTGACAATGAACAAATGGATACGAGAAATCCTTTCAAATTTGTCAGTCACTACACTTATGCGAGACTGCTACAAATGGAAGCTGTAAGGAGACGTCTTCTTTGGATGGTACTCGAGTTACTAAGGTCATCGCGAAGCAAACAGAGTCATTAAATTTCAGATTTACTACCTAGACAGTATCAAATCAAAAGTAGATACAAAAACCTTAATACAGAGACCTACAGTTGGTCGCCATTCGTAGCATGATTCCGTTGTGGAAAGCTCCCGGGTTGGTACGTGAAATTGGATATCGTTTTCACAACCGGCACTTGCTGGCTGGCACGGTTTAAACCCCGATATAACATATGGCCTATATGCCAAAGCGCATGAGGCACTTACTGTAATGACCTCGTGGAAAAGGGCCACAATAAGCTCAAAGGAACCCTTACAGCATGAAATTTGCTACTTAGGCGAAACGTTACCATTTACTTTGAGTGGATAAAGTTGTCGCCTGTCGAAGCGATACTTGTAATCGGGAAGCGTTATCCGGGGTCTTCCTCGCTAAGTTGACTTGGTGCACTACCATCGGGAGAAAACCTTTATCACTAGGCAACCGAATGCTCCTAACCGACGTCGGTATCTCAAATGGAATAGTGGGTATATGCCTCAAAAAAGCCTGAATCACAACGGCACTCTTTGACACTTGGCTTGGAAGACCAATCGACATGATGGCCGCAGAATTTGCTAGAATCACATTCCCCTTCCTACTATTATGATGCTCATTCAGTTTCTTCAAATTTCAATACTGTCATTGTAAAGCTCTTCATGGTCCATCACAGGATTCATCACTGCTTTATTTGCGTCATTGAGTGGCGGACGTCCCAAGATCAGTGCTATCCACGTGACCAGCACTGGTCATTGTTTCACGCGTTTAGCATCTGATCACGTGGAGCATTTGGGCAGTCATTAATCGAATGTGGCATTCAAAACATCACATTGGCCTTGAATATGGCCCGAGTAACTGGCGGTACCGTTCAACAGCAAGCATGTCTGAAAGAACAAATCGAGAGGGAGGAGGGAGCTGCTTTGAGATTTTTTGTTCAGAATATGGACAAACTGTCACTCCCTTCCGGTGCTTCTGCCGTACTCAGAAAGAAGTTGGAACAAACGAAGATCGATGCGGCACGGTGTGATCGAATGGTGGAGGAGGCAGCTAAAAGAATGGAGGAGCGGAAAAAGCTTGCTATGGAAAAAGAAAAGGAACGTATAATGAGGCCAGTAACTTCTGAGTATCTGTCCAGCAAACTGGATATGCGACCAGCATCTCCACCAACAAAAGCTCTACTCTATGAGGGGATTTCTCATGACCGCCAAGGAAGGTAAATTTTCTTATTCTGTTCGGATGTCGCTAATAGCCCCCCGTTTATATCTTTGCCCCTTGAGAGCATTCAATAGGTATCGGGGACAGAAGTCAACAGATCAAACTACATTATTCATCAATGGAAACGCCTATCCCCTAGGCGGAGCAGACTCGAACTCTAAGACCCTTTTAGACTTCTATCCTGAATTCATTCTCTATAGCTTCTTCGCGTTCATAAGTACACCACTGACCAGTCGATACAGTTACTTCAGTGAGAGAGTGCTGTAACTCTCGTTGACCACTCTACTTAACGACCGACTGTATGACGAGTAAACGTGCATGGTCGGTCCTGCGTGTACCAATAACAACAAAATGCACCCCATTGTGCACCGGGTCATATCACGGGAGCAAATTTGGGCGATATTGTGGAGTGCTTACCGCCACAACTCGTCCGTTATGCAGTTAGCCCCCGGCCGCCTATCCGTAAGAAGCATATTTGTCTGTTGTGGGCCCACTTCTTCATTAGTTTAAAACTGGATAGCCGCATAACAGTACTGATGGTAATGAACTATTTGGAAGCCAAACACGTAAACTATCTGCGTCGCTATGATCTTGCCAGCAGAAGAATTATTTCTACGTTTGGTAGGTTGGTTGACATTCAAACATACCCATCGTGGTGACCTAATGTCATAAATTGCTTTCCGGGGTCCGTCACGGTTCATCTAGGGTTATTTAATCTCAATACAGACTCGGTATTTTCATTGTGGGATAATCGAAAAGGTCTTTTTCAGAATGTAATTTGCAGGTTCGACTGGTTGCAAACTTAGAACGGATGATTTGTGGATGCATACTTCGTGGTTCTGCAGCTAACTTGCCCGTTTGAAATATGTTTGTGGCTGATAACGTTTGGGAAAATCAAGGACCTCTATAGGACTTATCCGAATTTACGCTTTCAAGTCCAACCTGCTGTTTTCATGTACCAGATGTTTAGGCGAGGTGAAAATGGTGGGAGTAAACACAGTTGAATTTGAGGGATCAAATTAAGCTAATTCCAGCTAGCTGCACATGCTCCCATTTATCTGACCCCTGGGCTTCGCTGAGACTGATTAGGTGAACCCAATTTAATTAACCATAGCTTGACGCTACGAAATTTCCAAAATGCTCCTGTAGAATCACACATTTTAGAGATTTCAGTTATTTGCTCACAGGTCACGTCGTGCTGTGTGAATTGACCATCGTCATTGTGCGAAGTCTACTCATTAGCAGCTAAAAATCGTTGCACCAAAATGTGTACAGGGCGTCGAACACTCAAATCCATCAGTGTCTGGTGACTAGTTGCATGATGAATTTCAGTTTTTTTTCGGGATACCCCGCCGAAACTCTTATACTAGCTGCATGATGAATTTCAGTTTTTTTTCGGGATACCCCGCCGAAAACTCTTATTTACAATTTAACATCCAATTTCAAACATCCTTAGGTCCAAATTTTTAACACGCATTTACTTCGAAGCTTCCAGAGGGCGTGTGAAAATCCCCCCAACTGCAATGTTTCTGATGGCAAAAAGCATTCCTTAAAGTAGTCAAGCTGGTGACGCATATTCCTACTGCAGGGTGTCAGGAAAATATATAGATTTTAGTCTCGATTTTCTACTGGAGTTCAACCCCAAATTGAAATGAATGTTCTGGGACTTGTACTCAACAGCAGTGATTTAGATTATTAATGTTCATCAACAGTCCTGATAAGGGGCCTTGTCGTCTCCTAGCCATTATGATGTTTCACGTTTGTATATTGTGGACCTCCTGGTGGAAGGGGGCTGATACTGTAGCTTTGATGCAAAGACTCCCCTTCCAATCTTCTCAAGGAGGGCCCACTCTCACTGCTAGGTTTAGACATCAATTGCCTCTGATGCGTAGCTGTCCACACCTGTTTCACCATTTCATGGATGAACGGAATTGTAGCAGATATAGTCATTCTGAAACAGGTACAGGGTTTATAGCTGATGATATTGAGGGACATAAGAGGACTCAGAATTCGTATCTACACTGTCTACGTTGGATTACTCAGCTGGTGCTTCTTATCGTCCCCGGTCCATTAGCATTATTCTGTTTGTCCTGCATTATTGCTTGAAATATCTGGCAATGTGTCTTTTCCTACGTCTACACTCAAACGCTACAGTAGCGTTAATAACAAAAACCATCTAACTGACTTCACTCGATGACCGGTTGACACGCATTTCACGCATAGAAACTGTACCTTTGCAGGTGGTCAATTTTTAGTCTACGGTGAGTGGGGCTCCGATCGGTCGCATTGTTCACTGGCTGGTTTACATATTTGAGTAGTAAAAGACTTGTGTGTAACTTTCTTCCGTCTAATTTTATTCGCCCCTGAATTTCACAGGTATCAGTATCTGAAGAAGCGCTATCGAAAGGATCCTGAAGAAAAATTTCCTTTTCCCATGCCCATGTCCTGGGATTACGGATGGCGTCTGTCGGATGTTATCAAAAGCGACGAAGTCAAAAAGTCTCCCTACGGTCGAATTGCAATCGTTAAGAACACCTTTTTCAACCGTACTGGAGTTTCTTTCGGTGAACCAGCAGAACCAAAGCCCTGGTACAGTTGTTAAGAGTGAACAACACGTCAGCTTGCAGTGTACAGTCGTCCAACTTGATCACGCACAAACTTTGGTGCGTCTCCTCAATTGGAAGTCGTTTCCAAATCAGCTTCAATTCCAACCAACCCAGGATTAGGTTTGCTAAAGACACTTCGAATCTACGAGAACCTGATCTAACCCTGATGATCTCTCGATCAAGTTAGAAAAAGCTTATTATTTTTACGCTTGTATTTTTGTCTTAGGGCTGTCAGACCCACCAACCGTGTCGAGTTACCACTAGATAATGAGGCATCATGCAACCTATGAGCATCTGTGTGTCATCCGTGTGTTCTGAATTATTCAGTAAGTTCAGGTAATCCTTTTATCCTGGCATGATTATTCTCTAAAATCTAGGCCACAAAGGAGAGCTGAACGCAAGGGTAAGGGCATTTCTACTGGGGATTAGTTTTGGCTGCTATCTTCGATCACCTACGATAGTGAACCCAGTGGATCCGAGCTAAGTCAGTCATTGCCCCCATTACGGTTTGACCGGGTAGCTTACCAATGCAGTAGGGCTGACCGTGAAGACCCAAGCCGATAAGATTCCTGACCCAAGTGATCGCCAGTTCAAAGCTGATTCAGACTTAGTTGCCGAATGAATTGAAATTATCTGTGTGGTAAGTAAACCGAATACATAGGGCCGTTAAGACTCGTACACTAACTGGCAAACGATAAGTTGACGGCTGACATATCCAAAAAATTATTTAAAATTACTTTGGGCATACTCAGTTCGCACGCCCAGCCAAATATACTGTTCTCTTAACAGTATTCGGGCCAGATAGGTAACATTTGTGTTTTTTTCTGATTTGTGTAAGCGAAGTTCATACCTCAGGTACTTTCGGGGATATACAGCTATTGTCGACACAGCCTTCAGCCCTTCATGGGGGTAAGAGAACGTCGTATGAACCGAGTGCCGCATAAAAGACTGTCACCGTTCTACGAATATGCGCTCTAAAGACATCCCCACCACTAGTTTTTCACAAAGTACCGGCAATGCTTCTCCTACACTATTTTTTGTCGTCTTTTGGCAGAAAACCCGACAGACGTAAGCTCCTTAGCTCATTTCCCACCCTTTTAGGTCGAACAGGGGTAGGCCTAGCAGAGTCCGCCGTATCAGTCGGTGTAGTTTTAGTACTTTGACCCATCACCCTGTAGGTACACATAGACTGATGTGTGGGTGTGGGTTTATGCTTCAGTGATACGCGTCCTTGATTGTAGCGTCTAACCTTAGTCACAGAATTGGGTCTTTGTGTGCCATGCTCATCAATGTCATCCAGACAGTCCCGCTCTCATAACAGTGCAGTTAATCTGGCTAACCTACAGTTAAGAGGAGGGACTATAAAGTCAAGTTTCACTCTTATTAGAGCTTACAAACAGTGCACGCCTTTCACCAAGCCGGGATTTGGAATCCCGGTTGACATGTGAGACGATAGTATTGCTACCACTCCATGGGCTAGAGGGAAATTGTCATCACCATCATCCTACTTTGCCATTAGGCAATAAACGTACTTAAGCAGACGTTTTTTTAGTTTAGATGCCTTTTTTATTCCAGTGAGTTGGTAAACACAGTGTTTAATTTTCAAACTGTTTCCTCGGGAGACAGTACTCTGTAGTTTAGTTACGGTGAAAAAATCCCCGGCTTCTCCCTAACTTCCCCATGCTATCGTTGCAGAAGAGAGCTGAAGTTCGATCGTTGGATTACATTTTCCGCCAAGATGAAACTGATTACACTTTTTGCGGTCCCGCACACAACCGTACTATAAGCTCAAACACAAGCGCCTTTTTAATTCCAGTTAGTTTACTGGGTAGCGTGTTCAAATTCCCGCCTCAAGTAAAATCAAGTCAGATAAAAGGCTCAGTACGTCATGTTTTATTCTGGATGTTTATACGATCATTTCAGTTGTTTTTAAAAGTGTTTCGAATTTTAGGTAGATCCTTGGGTTTTGCGTCAGCCGTTCCAGCTGCAGCTTCTTCATCCCGTACTGGCTGTCTGTGAGCTCAGTCTAGTGGTTTGAGTTTCGGACATTCAGGATGCATAAAATTCCTGGGCATTATCATACCTTCTTGGCTTGCACTGAAATGTTAAATAACAGATCCAGGTCAGCACCATAAACGGCACGGCATTTATCACGCTCGGATAAACATGATGCATTGTCTTTACAGTGGTGAATGAACAAGTTTGTCTTAACGAGAAATGCTCTTCAGTTAGTCATGATTCCCCTTTCCCCAGATGATGTAGTGTGGTAGACTTCTGAATAATAAGAAAATCTTCATAAAGGATAGTATTCACAAGGTTGATGAAAACTCTTCGACATCCCACGAATGGTTTCGCCCTTCTTGGGGTGAGGTTCAGTTGAGTCTCCCGTGAAAACCAAATTTATTTGCAAATGAGTGTATTTGCCGAAAGCAATTTGTGTATGTGCAATTCATGCACAAGCAAATACTTTATTCTGAGAAATCCATTAGGGTACTTCTAACTGTGACAATAGAATCATAAACTATCTCAGTTTGGCTGATGGCCGAACCCATCTTGAAGTTGTCAGTCCACAAATGAAAATTCTCACAGCAACGTGACACATTCGAGGGATGCTTGAGATTTTTTATGGTTCTTACCTACACGACACAGCTGAGGATGAGTTGTCAACTTAATCGTCGCAGTCAGTTCAGGCTCCCCGCCACATTCTTACTACTCGTCGATTGTGGCTCATTAGAAGTGACACGATGCATACCCGCAAGAGCTGGTATCTTTGAACCTCATACCATTGAAAAAATGCAGTTCCACAAACGATGACTATGGTCTAGGACCTTATGCGTACCCTATGGCTATAAAGTCACTACGTGCACACCGTTTCAGATGAGATATTAATTTCCCACTCATTGCATTTTTCACTCAGTAAGTAGAATGGGCAAGTTAAGATCGTACATTTTGAGGGTCAATCTATTGGACGCTTTGGGTTTTACATTTCCGCCCAAAAGACTAAGCCTTGTTCCTCTAATTGTATTTTCTGGGGTGGGAAATTTACAGGGGTTGAAAAGAATGCAGTTGCTGATCCAACTCAATTCGTGAGTCCCGAAAATCCACTTTCCGTTCAAGTTACGAATAAGAGGTTAGATTTATTTAAATTTGATGAGCTATCAAGAACGGTGTGGCGTGCAGAAAGGTTAGAAAGCGCCCTAACTGACAAGGAAATGACGGACCAGAATATTTGGCACAAACGTGGTGCACCTAATGTAACAGGTTGATTACGTTACGGTAGTTTTGGGAACATCATATCCGGATGACAGTAAGAAGTAAATGATGCTTGACCGACCATCCATCTGTTCACTGAATGGTGGCAAATCTGCCTCTTAATAAATTTTACTCATGCCTCCAAGCCATTTTCCACCGGTGGTTTGCTGAAATGACGCGACGATTACTCAAATGTTGCGGTTACGCCTAACATTGCTCTATTACTAAAAGGGTAATTTACTGATTCTTCACATCAAATCCTCAAGCAGAATGGGGTGGGTCGTTTTTTCAGAGCATTACCATGATATTGTTACGCATAGTTGAAAAATTTAACGTGGTCTTGGTTGAATGCACGAATTCTGTGTATTTCACAATGACGGGGCCAATAAAGCCCGTTGTGAAGTTGGCTTGCATTCAGAGTTGAATCTGCAGCCAGAGTAGCTGGGTAAATATGTGATACAGGGTGATAAAGAAATGCATTTAGGGCAAATTGCATTCCGGAACATTCTGTGATCCAAGAACCAGAATGAATTTAGTACAAAGCGAATGAGATGACGACCTTGTTCTTGTTTGTTTGGCTCATATAGCAGGATTGCTGGATATGACTCTTCTTTTGTCAATCGAAAGCTAAACAGCGCATCGGTTGTGACACTATGCATAAGGTGAGTGGAATGCTGAACAACCCACTACCAGCTTCGCCATTCATGGGCCCAGCGATCTCATTAGTAGCACCGTGTGAAGGAAAATACTTCGAAATTCTAAATATTGTTTTAAGTGAAACATATAATCCGCACTTTCATATGCAGGATGTCATCAAGCAGAGATCTGACTGGTTTTTAGTTGGGTTTCCCAATAGAACCAGCACAGTTAGCAAACGAGTGTGTGGTCATACCATAAACAGCAGACCTCTATTTCTTTGAGCTGTAAACTACAATGTGATTTGGCTGAAAATAATTAGGCACCAAATCAGAGTTGTGCAATGTGAATTTCGTTGTAAATTATGTTGGTAATAATATGGAGGGATTTTGGAATTTTCTAGACTAAGATTGCGTCGTTCAAGTGGAGTTAATTAATTCAAAAACGAACATAAGCACCATTCACCTGTTTTGTCCCAATCAAGGTTCTTCCGAAGTGCGCATTTCCTGAACCTTCAGCGAGATCAAAGCTCGCGACCTCCACGTTAGTAGTTTAAGACTAAACTGCCCGGTCACAAGCGGACGGTCAGCAGTGTGATTAACTCATACTTAGATGGGACATAGCCCGGAATTCGCACAAAGTGAACACGTATTGACCATATCCTCCAGAGACCAAAAGTAATCAGTAAAATAGCTAGTAAAGTTCAGGATAATGGAAGCACGCACAAAATGCCATATTTTACAACCTACCAAAGTTCCCATGTTCCGATCCTATCAGATAGTTTTTTTATGGAGATTTAGCCTTCGACTGGTACCGAATAGAATTCCTGTCTGAATGTGTTTAATCCTAGTAGTGTTCAGTTGCCCCGTACACCCCAGTCTCCGGAACGTCATTCGAGACGTTCTCCGGGAAAATGTCAAATTCAGACTTAGAGGGATGATGCATGTTTGTAATTGCAACCACTTTGGCAATTCTTCTGGTAGACAATTCACTGACTGAACTAGAATACTGGTTTAATCGAGAGGTATTTTTGCTAACTGCCAAATCCTAGAGGGCCGAAATAAATGCTATGAACCAACGGAAAAACATTTTTATTAATGAGAAGTGCATTAACTCCAGACGCCGGTTTTTCCGTAAAAATGAACTTTTCACCTAATCTATGTTTTTTGTTTATTCAACTTCGCAGTAGAGAGCATGATGTGGAAGAATGTCGTTTATCTAAGTCACTCACAGCAAGACAGGTAGAGCAGCTTTGGTACTGAGAATCTTGTGGTATCTAGCGGTTTCACAGGACCAACCGACTGAGCTCCTCTCCAAGTCACGTTGAATGATAGTTTGTGGCTTTCATCACCTCATCGAGCACATGTTTAACTATCCCATAGGCATTCAGTGAGAAGAGGCGTTGCTCAGAAAAGGAGGATA